ATTCTCTGTTTCCATCTCTTTCTCTCTCCATCTCTCTCTCATTCTCCCCATCCTTTCTCTCTTTCTCCATCTCTTTCTCTTTTTCTCTCTCTGTCTCCATTACTTTCTCATTCCCTCTCTCTCTCCCTTCCTCTTTCTCCATCTGTCTCTCTCCATCTCTCTCTCATTCTCCGCATCTTTTCTCTCTCTCTCTCTCTCTATCTCTCTCTCTCTCTATCTATCTATCTATCTATCTATCTATCTATCTATCTATCTAATCGGTCTATCTATTTATCTATATCTATCTATCTATCTCCATCCATCCATCCATCCAATCTATATCTATCTATCTATCTATCTATCTATCTATCTATCTATCTATCTATCTATCTAATCGGTCTATCTATTTATCTATATCTATCTATCTCCATCCATCCATCCATCCAATCTATATCTATCTATCTATCTATCTATCTATCTATCTATCTATCTATCTATCTAATCGGTCTATCTATTTATCTATATCTATCTATCTATCTCCATCCATCCATCCATCCAATCTATATCTATCTATCTATCTATCTATCTATCTATCTATCTATCTAATCGGTCTATCTATTTATATCTATCTATCTATCTACATCCATCCATCCATCCAATCTATATCTATCTATCTATCTATCTATCTATCTATCTATCTATCTATCTATCTAATCGGTCTATCTATTTATCTATATCTATCTATCTATCTCCATCCATCCATCCATCCAATCTATATCTATCTATCTATCTATCTATCTATCTATCTAATCGGTCTATCTATTTATCTATATCTATCTATCTATCTCCATCCATCCATCCAATCTATATCTATCTATCTATCTATCTATCTATCTATCTATCTATCTATCTATCTATCTAATCGGTCTATCTATTTATCTATATCTATCTATCTATCTCCATCCATCCATCCAATCTATATCTATCTATCTATCTATCTATCTATCTATCTATCTATCTATCTATCTATCTATCTATCTATCTATCTCTATATCATCTATCTATATCCATCCATGATCTATCTATCTATCTCTCTCTCTCCAGCGTGGAGTTGAACACCTATAGGGATTCGCTTAGTGACGGTGGCAGACAAGGCCGTAAAACGGGACAAAACTTAATTTATTTTTCCCCCCTTTCTCTCCCCCCCCCTCAGATTTGTGTGTGCCCAGCTGCCCAACCCTGTCCTGGAAAGCATAAGTGTGATTGACACCCCAGGAATCCTCTCCGGAGAGAAACAGCGGATTAGCCGAGGTAAGGATCATTTCTGAGCGACATTTGACTAAGATGGTTAACTCAGCTCGTTAACAGCTGCTCCTTCTCTTAGCAGAGGTTCTCCTGAGCATAGGCAGAGTTTTAAATCGGCCAGTCCTGAATTTTGGCTCCAGGCATTGTGAGGGGTTCCAACGCGGGAGGTTTTTAAGAAGAGGATAGACAAGCCGTTGTCTGAAACGGTGCTATAGGATGTCCAGCTTGAATGGGGGGTTGGGCTAGATGGCCTCCAGGGTCCCTTCCGACCGTGTTATTCTGTGATTCGGTCAGGGTCTGCTGCTTGAGCAGCGGGCTGGGCTAGATGACCTCCAGGGTCCCTTCCAACTCTTGTTATTCTATGATTCTGTAACAGTGTCCTGCTGAGCAAAGGGGTTGGACTGGATGACCTCCAAGGTCCCTTTCAACTGTATCGTTCCATGGTTCTGCAAGGGTCTCCTGCTTGAGGAGGGGGTTGGACTAGATGACCTCTGACGTCTCTTCCAACTGTGTTATTCTGTGATTCTGTAAGGGTCTCCTGCTTGAGCAGGGGGTTGGACTGGATGACCTCCAGGGTCCCTTCCAATTCTTGTTCTATGATTCTGTAAAGATCTGCTGCTTGAGCAGGGGGTTGGACTAGATGACCTCCAGGATCCCTTCCAACTCTTGTTCTATGATTCTGTAAGGGTCTCCTGCTTGAGGGGGCTGGACTAGATGACCTCCAAGGTCCCTTCCAACTCTGTTATTCTATGATTCTGGTAAGCGTTTCCTGCCTGAGCAGGGGGTTGGACTAGATGACCTCCAAGGTCCCTTCCAACTGTATCGTTCCATGGTTCTGTAAGGGTCTCCTGCTTGAGCAGTGGGCTGGACCAGATGACCTCCAAGGTCCCTTCCAACTCTTCTTATTCTATGATTCTGTAAGGATCTCCTGCTTGAGCAAGGGGTTGGACTAGTTGACCTCTGACGTCCCTTCCAACTCTTGTTATTCTATGATTCTGTAAGGGTCTTCTGCTTGAGGGGGCTGGACTAGATGACCTCCAAGGTCCCTTCCAACTCTTGTTATCCTATGATTCTGTAAGCGTCTCCTGCTTGAGCAAGGGGTTGGACTAGATGACCTCTAAGGTCCTTTTCAACTGTTATCATTCCATGATTCTGTGAGGGTCTCTGGCTTGAGCGGGGGGTTGGACTGGATGACCTCCAAGGTCCCTTCCAACTCTTCCTTATTCTTTGATTCCGCATTAGCGGCGTGGCTACAAGAGGAAGCGAGTCAGACAGCTCGACTTGCAAATTGTGGTTTGGCTTTTGCGCAAAATATTTTTTTTTATTGTTCCTCTTTGGCTTTTTCAGACTCCCCAATCAGGTCTAGCTACTTGTTGCTTGATTTCAAATTCCGAGAGTCCTCGGTTTACGCAATTGAGCTCCCGATTTCTGTTCCCCAAAGTCTCCCAGCCGGCTTTCATGCCTAAGGCGGGACTAGAACTCACCGTCTCTTGGTGATTGGCCCAAAGTCACCCAGCCGGCTAAGGCGGGACTAGAACTCACCATCTCCTGGTGATTGGCCCAAAGTCTCCCAGCCGGCTAAGGCGGGACTAGAACTCCCCGTCTCCTGGTGATTGGTTCAAATTCACCCAGCCGGCTTTCGTGCCTAAGGCGGGACTAGAACTCACTGTCTCTTGGTGATTGGCCCAAAGTCACCCAGCCGGCTTTCAGGCCTAAGGCGGGACTAGAACTCCCAGTCTCCTAGTGATTGGTTCAAAGTCACCCAGCCAGCTTTCGTGCCTAAGGCGGGACTAGAACTCACTGTTTCCTTGTGATTGGCCCAAAGTCACCCAGCCGCTTTCGTGCCTAAGGCGGGACTAGAACTCACTGTTTCCTTGTGATTGGCCCAAAGTCACCCAGCCGCTTTCGTGCCTAAGGCAGGACTAGAACTCACTGTTTCCTTGTGATTGGCCCAAAGTCACCCAGCCG